TTAAGGGTTGTTGAAGTAGAAATTATAAGAGCAACTTAAACCCCAAATGATCTGAAAACGATTCGAGGAAGCCAGTCAAGAAAGGTTTATCTTTGTGTTTGTTCTCTTCAGAACTGTTTAACATTGTATTCCCATGGGCATGAATTGTATTCTTACAGTACTTTTTCTCACTAAGGGAAAAAGGCAAACAGGAAAGTAATTTTCATGAACAGACATATGAGGGGATGCCTACTTCACAGACCAATAAGCAATCTACTCAAGGTTAAACTGGGAAGCAGATAAGGTAGTTCTGGGTATTTTGATCTAGAAAAGTCTGAGGGCTGAAGAAGTAAGGTCCCATATCTGAACGGAGCCCCCACAGAGGTGTGATCCTGTAAGAAGCCTTTGTCACTCTGGAGATGGCCAGATCTCAGCCAGGCCTGTGGTCCTGTTGGGAGGACCCCTCATCTGGGAGCCGATAGACAGATGGGTCTAGACACGTGCTTTCCGTGAGCTGGTGTGGCCCTCCGCTTGCCTTGCTAAGTGGCGATCTGAGAGAGTCATAATGGGGAGTGATTTTCACATGTATGAAATTACACTAACGTTTTCTATGAAAAGGAAATCGCCGTGAGAAAAGAGAAAAGCCCATGAGCTGTGTTGACAGTAACCAAGTAAAGCTTGCCAAGAGTTCTTGTTGCAAAACGTTGACTTTATAATCGCAATAAAGTTTGCAAATGGCAAAAATATGAGCTTTTTTACTCCTGGAAGACTTTATTATTCATGCAAACTATTAGTCAAATACAGAGGCTGCGACACACACTGTGAAGCCATTGATGAGCCAGAAGAGTCCCAAGGAGGGAGACTGACTAGAAATGATCCTTCAACTCAGCTGGAAGGATTCTTATACCTTCTGTTAAAATGCCTGGCTTAATAGGAATAAAGATGTTCATTTTTATCATACCTGAAGCCAAGGTGAAGCCCAGTCACGATCTTAGTGATCAGATAAAGTGGAACAAGTTAAGGCATCGTTTTAAATTCTCCCACAGTGGGCTGTATTTGTTTACACTGAAAGGCATTTTCCATGATAATGATGTCTCTAAAGTGAACTATGCATTTGAATTATGGTACTGGCGAAGAATCTTTAAAGTACCATGAACTGCCAAAGGGGGGTGGGGGTAGGGGATCTGTCTGCACAAAGAAGCACAGTCAGAATGCTCCTTGGAAACAAGCATGGCAAGACTTCATCGCACATAATTGGGACGCGTTGTCAGAGAGACCGCCCTAAAGGAGGCATCATGCTTAGGTAGCAGAACAGTCAAAATGAGGAAGAAGACCTTCGGCATGTTGGATCTGCACAGTGGCTGCATGAATGAACTCGCCATGAGAGCAATAGCGAGGATGGCGCAGGATTGGCAGTGGCTTGTTCTGTTGTGCCCACGGTCGCTATGAGTGGGATGCGACTAACAACAGCAACAAATTCAACCAGAGATGTATTCATGGATCAGGGGCTCACACTTAAGTCTGGCCCCGATC